CAATACTGGAAATTAAAAATATTTTGCCAATATTGTATTTGTATAGATACATCAATATTGGTCAAAAAAGCTATTCTAATATTGGAGTAATATTGGCCCAACATAAAAATGCTCTGCCAATATTGTATAAATATATACCCGATATATGATGCTACATGGGTAGTTACAGGTGGATAGGCCTTGTCAATAATAACAATAATTTGTCAAACTGTGATTTACTTTGAATTTCAGGCACAGAGAAACAAGTATTGGACATAACTGTAGAAGACCTTTTCAGGGGAACTCAGAACATTGCACAACAACTGACACTTTCCCAAGCACCAAATAAATACCGGCTACATTCCTGCCACGTATGTAAGATCACATTAAACGAATGGATTACTTATCACCGGTATAAATTGAGCAGGAGATAATTAACCGAATACGAGAAGCTGCTCGAAAGAGCGTGCAAAATAAGGTGAATACACAGGCACTTGTTTGACAAGTTACAGAAATGTATGTTTTTGTAATTTTGTAAACAAATTAATACTCCGAGGTTATGAGTTTCGACTCCTGTTGAGTTTACCGTTTATCCTTGTATATCTTATTGTCACTTTCTCTATTTATCCACGGTTAGCGGAGTTTTAAATAATTACGAAGCAACAGGTATTTACGTAATATTAATTAGGCAGATTACCTTGAAATACATTGTTGCCGTTTTTCTAATATAGTTATTGCAAATTTCTCAGCTTTTAATAACAATTAATATTGTTTACTATTTTTTCTGTACTTCCAAAACACCGCCAGACAACACCTCCAGAGGAATAACGCCAATTTTGAATATCCCTGTAGTACTAACCAACTCTGTTTTTTTAGTGAAAACTTCCCCATTTTCTGATTTATCCATAAATTTAAAGTTTATTTTAGGTGCTTTATCTGATTTCCAAAATATTTACAGAAATCGGTGCGGTGAACAAATTTATAAATTTTCGGAACAGTTTGATTTACAAAAGGTTTTACACGAACCGCCCAATAAGCCTCCAAATTTGCATGTTTTCAAGCCTTAATAACTTGCTTAGTTCAAAGAAAACCCCACAGTTTTCGGTGTTATCTTCGAACTTTATGGTCAGTTTATGTATGGTTTTAACTTCGAAACTTATCGTTTCGACAAGTTATTCAACAAAAAAATCTTTAAACGCCCTGTTTTTTGCTCACCAAGTCGATGTTGGCTTACAATGACCAAATTCACACATTGACACGCTGTCCTTTAAAAATTGATAACTAAAATGGCCAGATTCACTCACTTACACGATTACTTTTTGAAACGGATAACTTCCAATCGAGATCCAGTAGAAACTTGAACTTAGTGATCAATAGAAAAGATTTAGGTACTTAATTGGCAAAAAAATCGTTAAGATCACACAAAACCGGAATTTTTCTAACGAAGTGAATTCTGGCTTAAAATAACAAAATTTAAACTTACAAGCTTTAATTTAAAAATTGATAACTTCCAATCCAGATCCAGTAGAAACTTGAAATTCACCCGATCAATAGACGAAATATGAACATTTAAGTCGCGCAAATTCTATTAAAATCACTGAAAATCCGGATTGCTAATCAAGTGAAATCTAGTTTACAATAAGCAATTTCACAGACTTGCGTGCTGTCCGATAAAAAAATGATAGTTTTCAATCGAGATCAAGAAGAAACTTGAAATTCTCTCGACCAATAGACAAAATTTGAGAAGTTAAGTTGTACAAATTGAGGTAAAATCGCGGGAAATTTGGAATTTCGCTAACCATGTGAATTATGGCTTACATTGTTCGGTTTCACAAACTTACAGGCTTTCCTTTAAAAAATTATAACTTCCAATCGAGATCCAGTAAAAACTTCAAATTCTCGCAATCAATAGATGCGATCTGAATATTTATGTAGCGAAAATTCTATTAAAATCGCTGAAAATTTGGATTATTGCTATACAAGTGAATTCCGGATAACAATGATCAATTTCACAAGCTTGCATGCTGTCCGTTAAAAAAATGTAATTTTCAATCGAGATCAAGTAGAAACTTGAAATTCTCCCGATGAACAGACGAGATTTGAAACTTTAAGTTGTAAAATTTCAATAAAACCGCGGAAAATTTGGATTTTTGCAATCCAAGTGAATTCTGGTTCACAGTGATCGACTTCACACTTACAGGCTTTCCTTTAAAAAATTATAACTTCCATTCGAGATCCAGTAGAAACTTCAAATTCTCGCAATCAATAGATGCGATCCGCATATTGAGGTAGCAAAAATTCTAATAAAATTGCTGAAAATCAGGATGATTGCTAATCAAGTGCATTCTAGTTTACAATAAGCAATTTCACACACTTGTGTGCTGTCCGTTAAAAAATAGTAATTTTCAATCGAGATCAAGTTGAAACTTGAAATTATCTCGGCCAACAGACGAAATTTTAAAATTTGAGTTGTAAAAATTCAGTTAAATTGCGCAAAATCTGGAGTTTTGCTAACCAAGTGAATTTTGGCTCACATTGATCGATTTCACACTTCCTAGAAAAATTCACATTTTCTGAGATATCGCACTTTGTCCCACTAATAAGCCACCCTGTAAAGTTGCACGTTTTATCCAACATTTTCCTTATTAATAGATGAATCCCACTAAGGGATTTTGGGCATCCAGATATCAATTCCTTTCCAAATCCCGACATCTTTTTGCGTACAGACATCGACATTAATTCCAGATTTCTGGCTCGGCAAGTCAATATATCTCGGGCCATCCATCCAATTAAGGTCCGAGACTCCCAACTTAAGTTCTCGATCCATAAATCCCGCTGCTTTGATGGATCGGTTTTGCTCAAAGCGCATACGGAATGAGCCGGCTCTGTGTAATAGAAGCTCTTTAAATTTTCAACCAAGTAAAGTCGTTGTTTGTATCGTCTGGCCGATTTCGGGATACGCCACTTTGCTGGAAATTATCCATGGCTTCTGCTCCATTCAAATTCTCACTCATTCAATCAGCATTGTCTTTGGCTGTAACGCATCGCTTAGTTTTCTTTGAAATTCAGCTAACAGCGTGGAGTTTGAAGGGTTGGCATCTAACTAAGTTAGTTTATTCACAGCTACCACCGCCATATACATAATTCAGACATTTTTATTAAAGCGCGCAACGGCAACCGTGCATGCATCACAATGTCAACCATCAGTTGACAAATATGTCAGCGTCAAAGCGTGTTTGTGGTTAGTTTTTTCATTATGCTCTTCAAAAGTTAAAATGTGTAACAATGTCTAACATGCAGTCGAATTCCGTCGGCTTAAATGGCATTCTTGCTTGCAATGGAGTTCCTTGTAATGCGTAATTCTTGAAATTTGATTGGCATTCATAGGCGTTTCTTAACACTTAACACACTTCAGGTGCTGATCTGGCAATAAAGTATTTCTTGAAGCTTCCAACTAAGCATAGGTAACACTGTGTTGAGTTGGGCTTTTGGGTTGTTGCCGCTTTGTGCGCTAATGAGTTATAACTCGTCGGGTCTCACTGCGCCACACTTTGAGTTGCGCTTAGCATTTAACCCATGGACGGATTACAGCTTTACGAGGCCCGGGACTGTAATTTTAACACCTAAATAAATGTCGGCACATGTTTTGCAAATATATAATACAAAAAAGAGAAGATGGCCATAACTAGAAGGTAATGAAATTAATCTAGTGTAAATTTTTATTAATTCTTGAAATCAGAAGAGTTCAAGATTGAACTGAGCTCTAAGTATTTATAGATTAGAGATAATTCTTACCAGCTTTTTGCAAGCTGGCGCCCTATCCTCCATTTTCTTCTTTCTTTCCAGATATTCCTCCATTTTCTTCTTTCTTTCCAGGTGACGGTACGCAGCTCTCAATAAGCTTAGCATATTCAACAACTGACTCGTAGGATTGATTTGGGTCTGGATTGAGCTATTGGTTCTTCCGTGGTTAATTTTTAAACTTTGGGAATATTTTGGGCGGCTTTATATTATTACGTCAAGCTCATCTGAAGCGTTTCTCTAAAGAACCGCTTCAGATATGGAAATTTGGGTTCCAGTTTTATGTTTTTTTGTCAAAAATAGTGAAGAGTTTTAGTTGTAAATGTTTTTTTTTTAATTGTGATATCCAAGAACTATTTGAGCCACAGACTTCGTTTTAATACCATTGGATAGAGAATTGGAGATTCGATTCAGTTATGACTGGTAGGTTTGACACAAAAATAACACGAAATTTGAATTTCAAGAGCAAGTTTACACTAAAATTTGAAAATTTACTGAGTTACCCATGCCTGCTTCCA